GGCTGGAACACCGTGGAGCGCGAGGGCATCTCCATCAGCCACCCCGCGCGCTTCATCCTCGTGGGGTCGGGTGAGCGGCCACTTGTCGGCAGGGGGACGCCGCCAGGGCCGCGCCGCCTGCCACTCACCGGGGCGCAGCGGCAGGCAGCGACGCCGCTCAGACCACGTTGGGGCGAAGATGGGGCTTCGGGGGAGCCCAGAAAGAGGGGCTTGAGGGGGTGGGCACTGGGCCCTCCTTTGTATCTGATGGTAACAGAGGGATTGAAAACGGGCCGGGGCGGGTGGGAGGGGTGCCCCTGCTGTGACACGCTAGCTCAGGGGGCGGCGGAAAGCCTCGTGATGCATGTCTGCACGCTAAATCCGCGCCGCCCTGCCGCCCCGCCGGCCCCCAGGCAACCCCGAGGAGGGCGAGCTGCGGCCGCAGCTGCTGGACCGCTTCGGCATGCACGCGCAGGTTGGGATGCCGTGCAGGGGCCACCCCCCGGGAAAAGGCCGGCCCGTCCTGCCGCTGCCCTGCGATTGCAGCCCTTGCGCGCCGCGGCAGCCATCGCCCGTTGCCTCCGCCGCCCGGCTCCTCGGCCGTCCTGCGCCAACCCTGAAGTGCTGGGCGCGCGCGCAGCCCTCGACTGCCAACTTTCAAATGCCAACCGCCAACCGCCAACTGTATACCATCTACCCCAGATCGGCACCGTGAGGGAGCCCGAGCTGCGGGTCCAGATCGTGGCGGAGCGCAGCACCTTCGACGAGGACCCCGCCAGTGAGCAAACAAAGCACTGGGAAAACACAACCACAACACACACGCGCATGCCCACGCGTAGCATCATGCTCTGTGCACGCGCATGCGCACGCACACGCGAGCGACCCCTCATGCTGGCAATGTGGGGCGTTCCCACTCAAAGGGCAGCTCGCGTCTGGAGTTGTTGCAGAAGCCAATTGCTTCGAGGACCGACTTGGATCTTTTTCTAACTGTATCAATCCTGGACCTCTGTTGTCGACCGCAGCCTTCCGCGGCAAGTACGAGGACAAGCAGAACGCGCTGACCAACAAGATCGTCGACGCCCGCAAGCGCCTCAAGTCGGTGGACATCGCGTACGACTTCCGCGTGAAGATCAGCCAGATCTGCAGCGAGCTCAACGTGGACGGCATCCGCGGGGACATCGTCACCAACAGGTGGGGCGCGCGGCCGGGCGCCTGTGTGTTGTGTGTGTGTGTTGTGTGTGTGTGTGTGTATGTAGATGCCTGTGTGTGCGCGCCTGTGTGTGTGTGTGTTTGTGTCCAGACGCCTGTGTGTATACGCCTGTGTGTGTGCATATGTGTGTGCGCATATAAATATGTGTGTGTGTGAGGGCGCCTGAGTGTGTGTGGACCCTTTGGCGGGCGCCTCGTCAGCGAACCCCGCCCCGTCAACGACATCCGTTTCTGGGAACGGCCTTTGCCGGTGCGCCCGGACGGCGACGACGGGCTGCCGTCTGCTTGCGCACGGCAGCTGCGGTGGCTTCCGAGCCCAGGAGCCGGCCGGCCGGCCGGCCCCGTCGATTGCATTGCTCACCTTGGCGCCGCGGACCCCTGAAAACGACCGCAGGGCCTCCAAGGCGATCGCCGCGTTCGAGGGCCGCAGCGAGGTGGCGCTTGAGGACATCTACAGGTGGGTGGCCGCGCCACTGTCACCCTTTCCCTCGCCGAGGAAGGGATTTTGGGATCACCCCGCCGCGGCCCGCGGCTTGCCCTTGAGCCAGCCGTGCTCACGGATGTTGGGATGCGGGGCCGCGGCCTCTAAGGGAGGGCTGTTGCTGCGACCGCCGCCCCACCTCAACCTGGTTCCCGCGGCAACAAAGTGGTTGCGCCTGCGCTCCTGTTTCAGCGCCTTTCCCCCTCACCACATCCCCGCCGTCCACCCCCCACCCCTTACCCCAAAACGCAGGGTCATCCCCCTGTGCCTGCGCCACCGCCTCCGCAAGGACCCCCTGGCCGACATCGACAGCGGCGACAAGGTGCGGGAGGTGTTCAAGGCCGTCTTCGGCCTGGAGTGATCTGATCAGACCTGGCCAGATCAGATCGGATTCGCTCGGCGGCGGCGACGCACCTGAGCAGCAGCACCGACGCGCCGCGGGCCGCGCCCCGCGGCCGCAAGGGGCGCGCATGTGCTCGCCCTCCAGCCGGCCCCGCGCGGCGCGCGATGGCGCAGGGCTTGCGCGCGTGCACTCTCGCCTCTCCTGTTCCAGAGTGTGTGTGTCATGCACTTCTTTTTATATTGTAGCGAGCGAGCTGCTGTGGGGCTCTTCTGTCCCCAGGCGTCTTTATTTTGCTCTTTTTTGCTGTCTGTCGGAGCGCATTTCCCCGCCCCCCGAAAACGGCCGAATTCTTAATGACAAGAATTGAGTAACGCGCTCAATCAGAGTGGGCGGGGCACCTGGCGGCGTCGGGTCAACAAATCAGTCATCAGGTGTGCCAGCGGGCAGGAGAGCCTTCTCAGCTACAAAAGAGGGTCATGTGAGACTTCTGCGTTACATCTCCGGACATGAAATGGAGAACCGACGATAAAACGAGCGGCACCCGCCAGCCCCAAAACATGCCTCCAATAGGCACGGTCAGCACATGGGGCGCAGCTCCTGGGGTCGTATCTAATTGCTAGATCCGACCAGGCCAGACAAGATCCAATCATATGGTGTAATTGAAGCTGAGGGAGCTGCCCTGCCACCTGATGGCCCAATCGTTCTCCGCCAGCTTCACATACGGCACCTGCTCAGGGGCATGGCGTGGCAGGTGGTGACGGGGAGGTTTGAGGGCCGGCATTGTATAAGTTTTGACCCTAAGGCGGCGCAGTGTGGCGGGTGGTGGGGGTTGTCACCCTGGGCGGCGCAGTGTGGTGATTGGTTGGGGTTGCGAGGGTTGGGGTTCCAGGGAGTCAACCCCAGGGTAGCAGGCTAGGGTAAAGATTGCTGGGTGTGGACGACTCGAAAGCGGGCAGGAGTGGCCGGGCGCCCTGCCTGGACTGATGCTCAGGCGCACACAGAGCGTCTGGCTGCCACAGCTGGTGCACAACACATGCCAACCGACCAGCCAGAGCGGCCGCGCAGGCCAGCGCTCAGCCCGGCGCGCCCTGCGGCGACCCGCCGCGCGGCGCCGTCCAAGGCTGCGGCACAAGGCGAGCCGCGCGCGCACGCGGCACTAGGCCTGGCTGGGCACAGCACAAACAGGTCTGTTGTCTTGGCGGCGGCGGATCCGCGCGCACCCGGCTGAAAGTGACGGGGCCCGCAGAGATCTCGTCCCCGCCCGCGTCGATCTCGCCTGCGCCCGCGGCGGCCGCCGGCGCGACCCGCCAATTCCATCCAAGGCTCAGCCGCGCGTCCTGCGGGGGCCCAAGGTCGTGGCCGCGGCGGTTAAGAGCGCGAAAGCACGCGCGCGTCAGTGTGTGTTCTATGTACATTCCCGCAGCGGCGAGGGCCGATGCAGCAGGTGGCGGGTGAAGAGTGCCGCGATCGCGGGACGGCGCCACAATTGACAAAGGGCGTAGGAACCGTGCCGCATGGGCACGTGCCGCGGGCACCTTGCTTGGCGCAAGCGTGGGGGGCGCGCCTGCTCCCGCAGGCGCGAGCACGCCTACCGCCGAGGCCGCTGCAGTGTGCCGCCCGCTGCCACCCTGGAGCATCTCAGTCCGTGACGTTGCAACGTACCCAAGTGCCTCCCCAATTCCCCCCAAGCACATGTGTTGGGGAGTTCATCATGCGAAGTGCAAAGCTGAGCCCGCCGTGGTCGCAGCCATCTGGAAGATCTAGGGGCGCACCTGCGTGCTGGTGAAACCGATCCTGAACAGCTTCAGCCGCGCGTTGCCAAACGCCCCCACCTGCACACGCAGAGTTTGCATGACGCGCTCGCCGTTTGAAAAAACCGGCCCCAGTTCAGTATGCTGCGGGGACACGGACTTGGCGGCTGGCAGCGGCGGCCCTGGCTGCTGCGCAGGGTCAGGTGCCTGCCGCAGCTGGCGTCTCGCCAAATCCTGCCAGGCGGCATGGGCAGCGGCCTGTGCTGCACTGCAAATTTGCAAGTGCCGTTGGGTCCGCAGGCCCTTCAAGCAACACTGGCTGCTGCTGCTGTTGCTGCTGTTGCCGCTACTGCTGCTGCTGCTGTTGCTGCTGCCGCTGCTGTGTTTCAATGCAAGAACCTGCCACGAATTCAGCACCTGGCGCCGGCCGGCGCATGCCGGAGCACGACGCAGCTTGCGCCACGTGCGGGAAGCTGCAGGTGCACCCGCTCACCTGCTGCGTCGTCGGGTTGAACTCCAGTGTACCTTTGTAGGCCAGCCAGCTGTCCCAGGCCCCAGATCGCTTCACGATCTGGGGATTAAGGAGGATCAGGAACACATGACAAGATGCTTGGAGCAGCGAATATCAAGTTCAGCACCTGGGGCTGCTCGAAGGCATTCGATAAGCGACCTGCGGCCGCCGGCGGCTGCGGCGGCCCGCAGCCTGCGAGCCCCTCTGAGTGACGCCCCTGTCAGCGCGGCCCGACCACGACGGGCGGGCCCGTCACCTGCGGCTGCTTCCTGAAGCCGAGCGTGTAGGTGAACCCGGCATCCTTCTCGCTGCTGAGTGCGATCCCTGGGGAGATGCACCAGTCGCGCCACAGCAGCCCCGCCGCGCCCGCCGGCAGCACCCTGCGGCGGAAGCCGGGAGTCCGTCGGCGCGGGAAGCGTCCGGGGGTCCGTCGACTTGACAACAGCGTTTTGAGACTGCACTGTGGATGCGTGCACCCCTTGCTTCCTTTGGTCCATTCGCCGGCCAAGAGGACCGGCATCACTAACAAAGCAAACTGTGAGTCACTTATTTGGTAGGACGTGGGTACCCAGGCCCGCCTTTTCTTCCCAGGCAAAGAAATACAAGCAGCCAGGTCAGATCTGCCTCACCTGCGTCCGTCCAGCTGCCGGCGCTGCTCGTCGTCGCCCTTGATCGCGATGCCCTTGTCTGCGGCCATGATGCGCGCTATGGAGGGCGTGTTGGTGAAGAAGGCCTTGCGCAGCTGGGCTCGGTACCTGTGAGAGGGTGCAAGTGTGTGTGTACGTGTGTGTAATGTGTGTATGTTTGTGTGCACGTGTGTGTATGTGTGTGTATGTGTGGGTGTGCACGTGTGTGCGAACGTATGCAAGCACATGCGCGCATGCATGCATGGCAATGTGATGTTTATCTACCCAAGAGACCAGGAGTGAGCGAGGGGCACAGCCAAATGGCCCTGCAAGGCGTAGCATGCCAGCGCAGCGCTCCTGAATGGCGCTGCACTGCAGCACGGCGCTGCCGGCGCGCAGCACTACGGATCTCTTCGCACCTGTAATCGCCGGTGCCTGTGTGCAGGCTTCCTTTGTACTGCGAGCAGCCCCAGGGTGGACGAGCCGGGGCAGCGTGGCCGGGCGGAAGCGAGGGTCTGTCAGCGCGGGAGCTGCTCATTTCCTGGCTTCCGCTGCGTTGCTCGTTCCGCTGCGTTGCTCGTTTGCTCGCCGCCTCTGTGCGGCTCCTATGATGGCTCCTGCTGTACTGCATGGCAGGAAGGCCGCGCTTGACCTTTGGACGGCGCGCGCGCCTGCGGCTGCAAGCGGCCATTCGCTGCGTCCCCTGCCCCAGTCAACAACAGCAGCGCGCCGCCGGGGGCCCACCTTGACCTCGACGCCTCGCTGCGTCTCGGCCAGCTGCCGCACGTTGATGCGCATCGCTTGTGAATCGGGGTTCCAGGTCAACTGCGTCTTGAGGCTGCCAAAGAGGCGCTCTGCTGCGATCTCGCCGGCGTCCGAGGTGGTGGTGTAGTCGCCTGTGCGTGCACGGGATGTTGTGTATCTCACCGGCCGCCCGCTGGATGTAATGCGCCCTTCGCAAAGCGCGCGACATCCAACTTTGACAGACGGTGTGGCATACTGTACGTCCTTTGTTTCAAGGCGCAAAGCGCATCGCGGTTGCTAATGCCGCCGCCGCTGGCGACGTTGGTACTGCATCGCGTGTGGGAAACAGCCTGAAGCCACAGCGCAGAGCGTAAAACCATACTGATGCACGCGCCTGAGGAAGGCTCGTTGTCCGCCATGGTGCGGTCGCCGCCCAGGTGACGACTGGCACTGCCAGATCAATGCACGCGATGGTGATAACTGTTTCGCGATTCTGCACCGTTTATATAAATGCTGATAGTTCTCATATACCTTTCAAGTCGTCATTTATACGAACAGGCAATTCGCCCGCCGACGACATGTCGTTCGCGGAGCTCGGGCTAGACCCGCGGCTCCTGAGGTCGCTTGGGAAGCAGGGTTTCGAAAAACCCACACCGGTGCAGGCGGCAGCAATCCCTAAAGCCCTCGAAGGCAAGGATATCGTCGCAAGGGCGAGGACTGGCAGCGGCAAGACGTTGGCATACCTTCTGCCGTCGCTGCACAGAGTCCTCAGTAGCGGCGACACGAAAACGGGCTGGCGCGCGCTCGTGCTGGTGCCGACGCGCGAGCTTTGCGAGCAGGTGCGCCGCCGTCCGCTGCATGCTCGTGCGCTGCTGCCTCCGCTGTCGGCGGCCGGCCCGGCCAAGCAGCGCATCACCCCGCGCGGCAGTCTTTGGGTGCTATCACAATGCGTACTGCACATGGGAATCGAGGACGCCGCAGCAGGGCGCTAGGTCATGCGCTTGAGGGTAGTCGTCTCGACTGATCGAGCATACAGGGTGCTCAAGCGTCAAGACATGGCCCCTCTTGCAACGCAGGTTGCGGGGGAGGTCCGCACTGTCGTGCAGCACTGCGGCGTGCAGCTGTCCGTCACGGCGCTGGTGGCGGATGCACCCTCAATGGCGCGCGCGGCTGCGACCGGCGCCGGTGCGTTGCTGTTGCTGCTGCTACCCCCCCCCCCCTCGCCTCCTCTCTGCACCAGCTCCCTCCACGGCGTTTAGCATGCCGCAGCAGCGACAAATGCAGTGATGCCGACAGGCCCTTGACACTGCCAGCAATTGAATGGGCATGTGTGCGTCTGCGGGCGGGCGCGGCCGCCCTCGCGCCGCGCTCATGCACACGCATGCCCGTGCTGCCGCGGCAAACTCAGTGGGCTGCTGCCGCGCAAACCCTTCACAGGCGCGTTTGTGGTGTCCACCCCGGCACGCGTGGCGGCGGCGCTGCGCGAGGGCTGGCTGCCGCAGGGCGCGCTGCAGCAGCGCCTGCAGGTGGGCGGCCGCCGCCTCGCCCCCACTCGCCGCCGCGCCCTACCGCGCCTTCTCCCTGGCGGCGGCGCCGGCGCACTGCACATCGCGCTCTGGGCCCCTCGCTTGGCTTTGCGCCTCCTCCCCTTCCTCGCAGCCTGCCTTTGCACCTGGACCCTGCCGCCCCACAGCTCTCCGCTGCCCCATACCTTACACAACCCCCCACCCCCGCCCATGCAAGTACTTCTGAATGTCCCATGTGCTGACACCCTGAATTTACTCATCCGCCCCCCAGGTTTTGGTGCTGGATGAGGCAGACCTCCTGCTGAGCTACGGCTACGAGGACGACCTGCGGCTGCTGGCGCCGCAGGTGATCTGGCGCGATCTGGCGCGGTTTTGGTGCGGCTGACCTGACTTGATCGGACGGAGGCCGTGCGTTTGAGTTTGTTGCCGTTGGTGGAGCTGACATCCCGTTCTTCCGTCGTGTGTGCCTCCCCCCCCCCCGACACGCACACACACACATGCACGCAAATGTGCAATTTCAAGCACATCCACAACCTCACACGCCACACACACACACACACACACACACACACACACACACACACACACACAGACACAAGCAAGCTCACACACAAGCACAAACACGCACACGTGCATGCGCAAATGCACACACACACCCATGCCCATTTCCATCGATGCCAATCCGCCGCAGGTGCCCCGCAGCTGCCAGTGCATGCTGATGAGCGCCACCACCTCATCCGACGTCGAGCAGCTGCAGAAGCTCGTCCTCCACAACCCCACCACCCTCAACCTCTTAGCCACGCCCGGGCCGGGCGCGGGCGGCGGCGGAGGGGAGGGGGACGGCGGCGGCGGCGGCGGCGGCGGGGACCTGGCAGGAGGCGGGTCGGGGGCGGCGGCGGAGATCTCGCATTTTCACTACCCGTGTGCGAAGGAGGACCGGGCGCTGGTGGTGCTGGCGCTGCTCAAGTTGGGGCTCTTGCGGAAAAAGGTGAGACGCTTCTACTAGCAGCCTGGCGGGACTGGCACGGGGACTGCGAGCAGGCAGTGTGTGTGTGTGTGTGTGTGTTTGTGTGTCTGCATGTGCATGTGTGTGTGCGTGGTGGGGGAAAGGCGACGGGGTGGGACAGGTGTGATCGCGGGCAGCTAGGTGCGCCTGAGAGGGCCATTATTCCAAGGCTGCACGGGTTGTTGAGCCCCTGGGAGTGAGTGGCTGCATGCCTGCACATAGGATCGCAGCGAGGCTATCGCACGTACACATGTGTTGTTTCCTGTTTGCCATGTAGAGAGAGAGGCGGCGGGGCGGCGTTCTCAAGACAACCAGTGGTGCAGACGCCTTCGGCGCCAAGCCTTCGCTGCGAATCACCCCTTGCGCTGCCCGCCCCGTTTTCCGCTCCCCATCCACCCCGCACCCCATCCGCCTCTCGTCCGATCCACTCCCATCTCCGCAGGTGCTCATCTTCGCCAACACCCCCGACGAGGGCATGCGGCTGCGTCTGTTTTTGGAGGCGTTCGGCCTGCGGCTGGCGCTGCTGTCGCCTGACCAGCCGCTCAACAGCCGCAGCCACATCCTCGCGTCCTTCAACAAGGGCCTCTTCGACTTCTTGATAGCCATAGGTGGGTTTGGGGTTCAGGGTTAAGGCACGCCGCCGGCTGCGCGGCGCGGTCGCGTCTGCTGAAGGGGGCGCCTGTGGCATCTTTTCAGTATCGTATTCCTTGCTTTGCTTTCGTCCGGGGGGTTGCCTGCGGCGTCTTTGCTGTGGCATGCTCCACTCTGTGCTTGTGCGTGAGGGCGGGGGGTGCCCGCCAGGGTGCCACAATGCTGATTTCTCATAGATTTTGGTGGGCATGGGGTACGACTTGACCCAGTGGGCAGGCCATTCGCATGAACGCATCGGACCCCGGGAGCTGCTCCGCCATTCTTCTCACAGCCTAACGGGGCCAGGCCCGCCTGGCGGCAGTTGGCGGCGGTTGAGCGGTGGCGTGCGGCGCCAGCGGCGTGGCATGTGTTCCCACGCGTCAGCCAACCCACCCCTTCTAATTGCTGACCATGCCTCCGCCCGCCCATGCCGACACCAATGCAGATGACGTCCACGCACGCGCGGCGGACAGCGCCCCCGCGGCCGCCGCCGCCGCCGGCAGCAAGAAACGGAAGCGTGCCAAAGACGGCCAGCAGCAGCAGCAGCAGCAGAAGGCCGGCAAGCGGCCGGCAAAGGACGAGGAGTTTGGCGTGACCCGGGGCATCGACTTCAAGGGGGTGCGGACAATTGTGAATTACGACCTGCCCGCCTCAGTCCAAGGTGGGCGGCGCGGCCCGTGCGGCGCAACTGCTCGCGCGGCCGGCTGGGCTGAAGGGGAGTGGGCCGCCCGCGCCGCTGCACGGGCGCCCGCGGCGGCCGCCCAGCGCCGCTGGAAGCGCGCCGAGCCTCTTTTGCCTGCGCGTTCCCTGTCTTCTGCAACTCCGCTCGGCTGCACCCCACATGTTTGCACGCTCGAGCATCATTTTGCACGCTTCACGACCTCGCAGGCTACGTGCACCGCGTCGGCCGCACCGGGCGCGCCGGCCAGTCCGGCGCCGCTGTGACGCTCCTCACGCCTACCGACCTGCCGGCCCCTCTGGCGGCCACGGCGGCCGAGAGCGGCCTGATCAAGCGCGCCGCCCCTGCGGCTGCGGACAAAGGTGGAAAAGTCGGCGACGGCGGCGGCGGCGGGTTCGGGGCGGCGCTGCTGGCGGCACTGCAGGGGGAGCACGCGCAGCGGCAGCGGAAATTACAGCAGCAGCAGCAGGACGGCGGCGGGAGCGACGATGATGAGGAGGAAAACAAGGATGGGGACGCCGTCGTCGGGCTCGGCGGCGGCCCGCTGCCGCTGTTTGGCCGGCTCACCAAGGCAGCAGTTGAGGGGCTGCGGTACCGAGGGGAGGACGTTCTGAGGGGCATCAGCCGGGGCGCGGTGAAGGAGGCGCGCGCGCGGGAAGTTGCGCAGCAGCTGCTGAACTCGGAGAAGCTGAAGTCTTACTTCGAGACGCACGAGGCGGAGCAGGTGGGGTTGGCCGCGTGTAGATGTTCAAAAGTTGCATGTACATGATTTCGTAGTGCGTGTGTCGTCTTTTTGCACTCTGTTCGTGTGTCGTGTGTGTTTGTATTAGTGCTTGCTGTATGGGGTGGTGTTGTGTATGCATCGAGGTGTCAGTGTGTGTGTGTGTGTGTTTGCGTGGGTGAGTGTGCTTGAATGTGTGCATTCAGGTGCCTGCATGCGCGCGTGTATGTGTGTGTGTGTGTGTGTATGTGTGTGTATATGTGTGTGCATGCGCACGCGCGCGTGTGCGCGCGTGTGCACCTTTCGATCGGCGCAACTGCCACCGCTGGGTCCGTCCAGGTGCCAAAATCGCCCCAACGCCGCAGCCAGAGCCCCGAACCCCAGGCTGTCCCGCAC